AGAGGTGGAGTTCTTCGAGTCATTTGAAACGGGGCTGTTGAAGAAGCTAGAGTTCAGACTTCTCCTCAAATAAAATAGCTCTCTCTCTCTCTCTATCTCTCTCTCTCTCTCCCTCTCTCTCTCTCTCTTATATATATATATAGTATTGAATATTGTGTATTAGATGCTATGTATACATATATGATAAAGATATGCACATTAACGACTCTCTCTCTCTCTATTCTTCTCTATGCAAGATCGGTCATAAGACTGGTTTAGCTCACGAGGCCTCGGCTAAGTCCATCTTCCAACTGAGTTTCGGCTGGACCGTGTTCTCCTACACCCTGTTCAAAAATATACGGTCAATCCTCAAGCCCGAATCTTCGAAGTTTTCGTTCTGCGGAAGCCTCGACTGGTACTGGTCCTTCCCACAAACAACCGAGACCACGCCAGACCAAACGCGAAAGGTGGAAGGTTTCGAAGTTGGAATCATCAGAAGTTGGACGGTTTTCAGGGTGCTGGAAGCCCGAATACGCATTTTCCAACTTTGCGGCGGCAACTGTAAACCCAAAGCCCTAAACCCGTGTTGTAACTCTTATTGAACCCTAAACCCTGAACCGTCAACCCGTAAGCCCAAAAGCCCTAACCCTGAAGCACTCAACCGAAAAACCCTAAAGCCCCAAACCCTAAAGCCCTAAAGCCCTACACCCTAAAACCCTAAATCTCAGAACCCAAACCCCCAAACCCCCAAACCCCCAAACCCCCCAAAGCGCAAGACTTTCTGGTGAATCTTTGAGGCGGCGCCTGCGTTACCACCTTGGTTACAGACTCGGAGACGGCGGCCTCAATGCCACTTTGACTGCCAAACCTGATGGGTTTTGAGTTTAGGGTTTAGGATTTGCAAATTTTAGGATTTGCAAATTTCGGGTTTAGGGTCAATAATTAAGGTTTTTGGGTTTAGGGTGTGTGGGTTGATTTGGATACATGGGTTTTGGGTTGCTGGTGTCATGGGCACTCCATGCCCAGACGCACAGAAGCCCATGCTTCAAACCCAAGTGCAGCAAGACTCATGTCCTCAACTGCCTTCTCAGCTCGTTTGGGTACCCAAAGGGTCCAAGTAATAGTATAGTATATACTTTTGGGGCCCAAATACCTACTAAGTAACTACTATATTGGCACATGGACCCTTTGGGGTACCAGTCCGGGGATCCAGCCATCCCCATTTCACTCGGAAAGTTTAGCTTGCTTAAACTGTTAGCCAGCGAAATCTCTCAGTTCCATCGCTCCTCCAAAGTCGTCAGGCTCAATGTAGGGCTTGTAAGATTTACTTGAACTTGTCTGGGCTTTTCTCGTCGGGTGGTTGCCGGAACCATACGGGCCAGAAGTCCCCTCTTCCCTGTGCAAGGAGCCGCCTGGCGTTGCCGTTGAAGATAGCTGTTGCAAGCACTTCCTTTGCCCGCTCCTCAACTTCCTGGGGATATGCTGACGCAGGATATGCCGCAGAGGCACTTAGACCGTAGGATGAGTTCGTGTTTGCATAAGAAAGCAACGCGAGAGGAAGAACCAGATTTTATACATAGTGTTAGTATACCATGTTGTGTAGTTCATAGGCCTTACTTGATATGAGATAACATAGGTACTTCGTTCAGACATGCACGGTGAAAGTCTCAAGTTCCGGACTTTCGAACTCAGTAATTATACAGGCAGCTACGTTCCAGAACTGTTGCGCTGACGAGGCTGGTGCCGCCATACGACGGCGCTGGAATGAGGTGCAATCCGTCAATGATGGAAACCGGAAACCCTGCAGCCGCCGAAATGGAGTGTGGCCGTCAGGCCCTCAACTCCGATTCCTACTTACAAATCCCGGCTAAAGCTGCGACCCGAAAGTCAGGTCAGAACACATCTCCCTTGTTGTGAGAAGTTTGGGGCATGTTTCTAGGTAAAAAGATGCATGACAGGGACTAGGCAAGGCAAAGCAGGGATTCGTCCATCTGCCCGGATGGAGTACCCGTCGCTCAAGGCAAAAAATGAGTCTCGAGCCCGATCGCCATGCGTTTTGGATCTCTGTCTTAGTAGGCTGAACATGGGTAGTTCTCTCTAAATTAGGGTCCCTTCTGGGGTCCTTTTTATAAGGGTGCCGTACTATACTGGGGGCCTAAAGCGAGACCCTAATTTAGAGAACTAGGAGACCTGTTCCGGCACAGCTGGTCTTGATAGGTTTGTAGAGGACATGACAGCACGTCTTGCCTGCACTGACTTTACGGGCAAGATCTTGGACTAGTTTTTTTGCAGCACACTCCAGAAATGCATGATGATTTCGACAGCTGCTTCAGTTATGACAGATCCTTGGATTACATTCCTGTTCTGGTTTGCAATCCGCCATTTCTTCCAAAGCCATGCTTTGAGGCTCAAGTGATGTCCTCATGTCACAAGCCACCAACCACTACATACACTGAACTCGAAACCGGATGAACCCCCCGACCTGCAACTTTGATTGTCAACCCACCAAAGGCTCTGAGCATATACTCGCAGCAAGAGCCGCACGATCCTGTGCGAAGCCTTCATCCAAGCCCACACTGACCCGAATCCACAGCCCTCCATTTCCGAGAAGTGCGTTCAAACATTCACGTCTCTCGGAACGGATGGCTCCTTGCATCAATGACCACTCTACGGGTTTGGGCCGACGGCTGCCAGCCAGGGGTCGCTGTCTCAGTACTCGGTTATCGGGAGGAAGCCGCATGTGGCGGCTTTGTCCTCCGTGTTTCGGGGGCTGCACACCGAAACTCCGAGTTACGATGTCAGCCAGCATCTCGCGTGGTTGGCATGCGCAGTCCGTCAGATGCTAAGCCATCAGCCCTAGGCCCTAAACAAACACCCACGGCACGTCAACCCCTGAGTCCTAGACGCTAGACGCTCCCTGACTTGCCCTGCGGCGTAACGCCAATGGCCAAATAAGCGATGGATCCCACACCCCCAAGGCGAAATTTATGCCCAAAGCCCGAATCGCTTGAGCCCACCCCCAAGCTGCAATGCGCTTGAGTCGCCAAGGCTCAAACCACAAACCTAAAGTTGTTCACCGATGAGCCCGATCATTACCGCCAGCCCTTGAGACCGAAACCTGTAATGTAATCCATATGACTTGGTCTATAAGTTCCTAAACCCTAAACCCTAAACTATCAGCACGCCGTAAGATTTTGGAGCGGAATGCCTTGAAGTGCTGATGGCTGAGGCCCCTGCCGGTTCGGTGGCCATTGCCGGGGCCCTTACACGACACATGTCGTTGTGCCTATAGCTGGCTGATCTAGGAATCATTGTTTTTTGTAATGATAGCAATAACATACGTATAGCTTAGTAGACCCTAAAACTTGTTTCATGCGCTGCAGGATAGCTTCAAGCTGAGAGGCGCATCTCCTCTGACTCTAACACCTCTTTAAGTCCTGTTTCACGGCCTGTCCGATGCTCTAAAGCCTTCCATGCTTTAAACCTGGCTCGTAGGTAGCCGGACAGCATAAAAGCCATGCGCCTTGCAAATCATGAACCCTAGAGTCTGGAGTCTCCTCTCCTTGTTTCCGTTTGCTGCTGTCGCGATTGCTGCAAGTCTGTCTCAAGTTACGAACATCTGGTGATTTTGACCCTATAAGCATTCGATGCAGCTTTTGCCCTCAAGATTCTAAGGTCGATCTGCCGCTTCGGCACGCACCGAGGCCCTGCCCCGTTTTCATTTGAGCACTTCTCTGGCTAGACTTTGGGTCCTTACCAACGATCCCGTTATGTGGCGTTTACATTTTACATCTATGTGATGCTGCCGACTTTCTGGCATGGAGAGTTGGGTAGTTCTGCAGCTCAGCGCCTTTGTATCAGGGTTTCCATTATGAGAGAGAGAGAGACGCACCGTGTCCAAGATCAAGAGCAGTACTGTTGTATAGAGAACTTTCCGCATGTATGATTGTCAATGACGCCATGATTTAAAGTTAAAATCTGCAAGTAGCATCAACAAACCGATTCGGTTGTCGTCGTTGTTGTTGCTGTTGCAACTATTGCGCTGGTATTGACGGTGACTCTGAGGAAAACCGTCGTCTGGGATTTCAGTCGAAGACCGATTGTCGACTGGCATCGCCCAGAAGAGTCTTCAGAAGATTTCAGATGATTGGGCGTTATCTCAGACTACTTTTCTCCAACGTCTGAAGTCCTGAACGGTCCTAAACCTTAAGCCCAGGTCCTCCTTCGCTTTCCCTAGAGCTCTTCAGGTGGCATCAGCTCTGCTGCCGGAGATACCAGCCCAGGCCATCTGAGTCGGTTTTGGCCTGTGTAGATGCAGCGCTAGGCTTGTGGAGCAGATGCGGCCACGGCCTTTCAAAACGATGATCTTAAGTACTGCTTCGGTCGCAGTTGCCTTGTAAACGCCCTAGAGCAATGCAGCCGTGCAGCCTTGTACCAGCTTGTACCCTTCGAACCTGTAATCATTGAGATCCGTACGCCGCGCAGCTGTAAATCCGACTCCCTAATTGCTTGCTCCACTGTCCTCCCGCAGGCAGGTGTGGATCCGCGTGAAAATTCTGCCAGGTGATGGCAGGCTCCTGGCCCCAAGAGTTGTGTTTCTTCCAGGGTTTGGGGCCTGGGTGTACTCTTTCAGAAGCCATACGTACAGTCTTCCATTATATGCGCTTGTTTTTATGTATATGTATACAGACATGTATGTGTATGTATATATATA